TATTTATATGTGTGTGTGTGTGTGTGTGTGTGTTGAGCCGAGCGTATACACGTATATGTGTGCGTGCATATATACGTATATCTGCTGTCACGCCACGTGCACTCTCCGTAGAAACACGGTGTGTCCAAAGTTCCTGGCGTGCCTCGCAAAAAGCGCGATACTTGTTGCTCGTTACACGTTGTGTTGCTTGATGTTACAACAGTGTGTCCTCGACAATTGTGTGTCACGAAAGACCAGCTGAGAAGAGGAGTTTCGAGTGAATTTACGAAAGCGCGTTATCCGGGCGTTTTTATTGTAACTTCCATCAGTCAAAGATATTTGGAGTTTTCTGTTTGTTTTGTGATAAAATTGTGATATCGTAATCAAATGAAAATTCTTTATGTTACGATGTTTAACATTAAAGAGTTATCTTACCGTTACTACAAACAATAAGCACTTTATGACGCGACAGTTGTTTGAATGACATGTAAGTGCACTGTGATCTAATTTCACTTGATTTCACCCCAAATTATTCTAATCCTATTTAGAGATCTCGCGCATTCATTCGCGTCTATCGCGTATGAAGAATGCAAAAGAAAAAAGAGAAAGTTAGATGAAGAATTCTCAAGAGTTCTCACAACAGATTCTATTATGCGCTTGTATAGCAATTTTCAAAAATGTAATAAAGCGTAAAAAAAAAACGTATGTCGTAATTTTGAAACTTACTCGGCACAAAGTTTACGTATATATTTAATTATTTATCCTGTCAGCTTTGCAACACTTGCACTATTGTCTGTTTAGCGCAATACAATACATTTATACCGTGTTGGGTGAAATAATAGAAAAAGATAGTAATCGCTTTCGAATTAATTGCTTCAACAAATTAACACTATGTAACACTATGTAAGGAATTTTCTCTGTGAGTGTTATTCGCCCCGTTTATTTTAGACTTGCGATTCTGTTATTTTTGGACGGCACTCTATCTTTAGTTCTGGCACATGTCTTGTGTGTGCCGTAAGTGTTACGTTATAATCTCGACTTACGAGTATCGGATACATGTGAGATTGAGAGCAAACCTATTACATCACAATATAAGTGTGTACAAGCAGTATTGTTTTTTTCAAGCAAGAGTTTAAGAAAAAAAAATCCGATGTATGATACGCGGAAAGAAACAACTTTTTAAACACAAGACCGCTTACCAGCCGCAATTCCAATTTTGTTGTTTAGATAATAAACGCGCGAATAAGAATTTCTGTAAGAAAATTCGCGTCCTGTTTATAAATTAAACGATAAGTTTTGCTCATCTTCGCGAAATTTCCATCATGAATAATGGAAAACAACGATATAAGGACGGAAATTGTTGAAGGCTTTCGGTCAAACCCACTCCAATCGCGAGCATCATTCTCATTCGTTCCTCGTACGTTTCAACATTAGCACTTCCTACAGCACGATGATGGCCTTCTACGAAATGCGTTTGCGCGCGCGTTAAGTTTGTTGTCTCAATGTCAATATCAATGTCAATATAAAATAATAAGATTTAAAACACAAATTACTGTATAATTGACTACGAACACTCAGAAACCTGATACATATCAATCGTTTGAAGCGACACGCCTCTTGTTTAATATAGATAACGATTATCTACAAAAGATATAATCCGCATGGATGACCAGACAAAGAATATCAAAGGTTGCTCATATGTGTGTTTACTTTGGAAGTAATATAATCACACAGTATGAGAAGGAAACGAGGAAAAAAAAATATTCTCATTTCATGAAAGAGAAAGAAATACATGATTTCCTTGAAAAAAAAAATTTATAATTAGAAACGTACTATCTTGTTATTTAAAATACGATGCGTACTTTAATAACTACAGAATGAAAAATCTCAAAAATATATATAAAAAATTATAAAATACTATCTTTCACTATAAGTTAACAAAAAACAATTTACATATGGCACTCTGACACGCAAAGTCACCAATTATCTGCTGTAACCGCGCTATCGCTTGCATAGATCGCTGATGCTACTAGTGTATGTAATGATTTCACGACAGCAGCTGTAATTCTTCTAAGAATTCGTCGCACCTACAGTCAATTTACAGTTTAAGTGATTGTACGTGAACTTCGTTTCTAAGTGATATAATATTTTGTTGTGCAAGAGGCAAGCGCATATTAACGCATTAATCGTTTCTGAGTATCTTTGTAGTCTCGTAATCGAGAGGATAATGGTAATATTAAAGTTTCTTTGTGTGTTACTTAAATGAGATGAACGAGCTATCGGGCAAATAATATCGCTATGAAGTGGATAAGGGTCTAAGAAATTTATGGATGATTGCGCGCAGAGAGTTCCGTCCGATAAAACGAACTTTCGTATCTGAACTTTTCTTCATAGATCTGTCAACTATGTTTTTCCGTAGTGATGAGATACAAAAATAACACTTTGTAAAGGTTCTTCTAGTGAAAAATATAAAAAAAAACTTAATAAATATTCGTAATTAAAAACGGTTGAGTTTTTGGAAAATAATTATATAATTACTATTTCATAAGTGTTTTATAAGTCTGAGTAATTTTATCACATCATTACATTTTTGCCAGCAATTAAGATAATAATTTTTGTTAATATAAAAGTCAGATTAATTGAGTGCTATTTCCGTATATTTCTCGTGATCCGTATCGCGCGGTATTTATCTATGCGGAAATTTTACAGTTCTCCAACGAGTGATTTGTAGCGTAACGCCAAATGGGTTTATTGCGGATTTTAATAGCTTCTCCGGTTGATCTAGTGGCGCAACAGACAAGAGAACAGATTTAAAAAAAATGTAACGACGCACCGTTTACGAGCTGCTTAACGGTCATACATTTTTAATATCCACTGAAATCTAGCCATCGAAAAGCGCTCCTCTTTCTTTTCTTGGCAGATCTCGCGCAAGCACATATACTTATTTACGCAAGAATTACTTTAATGTTTACGTTCCATAAAAACCGCGGAAGTACCTTCAGATTTTTCTCGTGTTAATGGACCGCAAAATCTCGATACCAAAAGAGAAGAAAAATAAAATGAGCGGAAGAGAAAGTTACGCAGTGTTCTATTAAATACAAAATTAACGATAAATAAACCGGAAAACTGCATATCAAAATGTTGCGAGATGATAGAAACAATAAAAAGAAAATTGTTCAAACGTTTTTCATAATAAATAACGCAGGCAAAAGCGTGCGTTAATCTTTACACATGAAACTGCGCCAATAATGTCTCAATAATATTTTAACACTAAAAAGCACAACTTCAAATGTAAAGACATTACATGTTTCTGTGTTCGTACAGTTTTTATGTAAAAAGCAAGAACAAACAAACAAATAAAACTTCAAAAAAATTGATACATATGTATCTCATTTCCGAGATATGAAGTCGTCATATTTGTCGCCGAGCAGATCCCTTAGGTGACTAAGAAAATGAGCAACAGTGAAAGAGAAAAGGGCGAGAATTTATGTCGTAATTTGTGTATATGACTTGAATAACTACCTGCATAATATAACGTGACTGGCTGGAGAGCGGCGGCTGGTAAGCAGACGACGCCCTTCACGATGAAGCTTTAATTAAAATTACGTACGTTTGCCTCTCGTAACGTGTACACGTTACTCTCTCGCCTTCTCATATCTCGCTTCTATTTAATATTTTTATGAGCTTTTCATTATGGTGCACGCGTATACGCGTGCATATACACGTATGTTTCGAGCATGCTTGTACGCTCGTCTCCTTGTACGCAAACATATGCGTATTCTCGGAGGTGCAAAAGATATCTTTGAAAGAACGTATCCGCGACGACCGCTTAAATTGGTACTTTTTCTTCACCCTTATACTTCGCTGACGAATCCTCATTTGCGAAATTTGTATGAAGGAATTTCTATCGCGTGGTCGCGCGGGACCGTCGCGAACAACGAGTCATCCTTGAAGGGGTTGCTACGTAAAACCGTAACAAGCATCTCTTTTCCGTGGAATGTATGGGGCTGTGATAAATGAGCGAAGAACCATAGAAAGAAACGGAGAAAAGGGAGAGATTGGGAAATTACTCGTACCTGTGTGATGCGAAGGAATGTGTCTGAATGCTTGAGGGGAAATTACGAGAAGAGAGCCACGAGAGAGATCGCACCGTGGATATCTTTCTATCGTGGGAAGAGAAAGTACAGCACCTCTGTAAAGTATCTGCAAATATTTTTCAAGAACTTCAAAACGTTCTAACGTACGTATACGTATTAACGCAAAACTTTGCACGAGGACGAATGTGAAACTTTGAAGAAAGTTTTGCGTTCTTCCGATGATTGAAATTATTTAATTGACTTGTTTTGTAAAGAAAAAAGTCACATATATTTGTTTTACGCAAACGCATTCGAAATAATAAATCTTGTTGAGCGAAAGACGGCTATGTCGACATAATTGCTTAACGATCGTGGTGTCACAAGACTGTCTTGATTGTCTTTCGGAAGCTAATTTCCGTCGAGACATCGAACAATATATGACGAATCTGACAATGAATATTCAACGTATCTATAAACCCACCGGTTTGTACTGCATATGCATTATAAGGTAGATCGTAGGAGTTGATATATCTGCACTTGAAAGCTGTCGAAATCCCAGACAAACCACCAGTCGACTAGTAATTCGATTCGTGAGTTTTCGTGAGAAATCTTACAATTCGCAGCAATAAAGTGCAGCGTGCGTTTGAATAGAATTAACGTTGTTTATTTTAGTATATTTGAACATTTGTTTTTACAATTTTCTAAAAGATTATTTCCATAGAGTATACGCGCTAGTCTCTACATTATTTTCTCTTTTACACACATCCCGTAATAATATTACTTGGAACGTCAGAAATAATTTCAAGGTTTTTTCAAAAACAATTCCGAATAAATAACTTGATAGTTTAAAGCGATACGTACGAGTGCATATGTAAAACAAATGATATATCAGAACGTGAGATAAGAGAGAAAGCGATTGCGAGATAATAACCGGCGTGCCGATAGGTCTGTTAAAGGGCTCCGTCACGGCTGAACGGCCGCGTACTTTGCGCCGCTTGCGGAACGTCTACGGTCAGACTGCATGCGGGATGGGAACCGGCGGTGACGGCGGGGGCGGAGATCGTCTCGAAGACGGCGAGGTCGCTTTTCGGATTGCTGGCGATCGGGATCGCGACAGGGACGAGAAGTCTCTCAGCATAATGAGTCCCTTCGACGAGCAGGAGGAATGGGCGAAGATCTCGGAAATCATGGCGTCATTCGGCACTGGTCTTGTGCAAGAGTCGGTATTCGTCAGCGAGCTCGAGAAAGAATTCCAAACGAGGCTAGGTATAATCTTATCGCCGTTGCGCGCAATATTTTCTGTTCCGCGCCGATGACGCGCATTTGATCTCAGATTTTTCGATTTATTTCGATCTTGGATTAATAATGTAAGTTCACGTTGACACGCGTAAAAACAAACAAATATTTTATTTTAAATTTTAGAAAAATATGAGAAAGATATTCTTTCAAATAACTTTATATATATTGTATATATACTGTGTTTCAATCCGTTGTATAAAAAAAGACAATAGTCTTGTGTGTGTCTTTTATCTCAGGTTTGAGTTCAGATACTAGCATCAGTCCCATTGTTTCGACCAGTGTGGGTCAATGGTTGTCCAGTTTGGGTCTGGCGGATTATGAGTCCCTCTTTACTAACTACGGTTTTGACGATCTCGAGTTCATAGTGAGTAGTACAGTAGTTGTGTATGCGCGATTCACGCATCGCGATTCCGATCTGAGAGAATACACGTGAAAAATCGTTTACTTGCGCGATTGCAGAACGGAGTGTTGGACGATAGAGATTTGCGCGAGATGGGTATCAGTAGCGAGCATGAAAGGACTGTGATCATAAACTCAGTCGGATTACTGAACAAGCGAGTGGAAAAACGTAACGCGGATCACGACCAATCGGTGGAGGAGTGGCTGAAGAGCATTCACCTGGAAAATTATGCGGAGACGTTCAGGAAGCATCTGTACACCGACATGGATCGGATCAAACGAGTCTGGGAGGTCGAGCTGACAACAGTTTTGGAAATCCAAAAACCAGCGCATCGCAAACGCATCCTTGCTTCCGTGAGTGGCACGAATAGCGCGCGCGCGCAAACTCGCAACGGCACAGGACTAAACTTGGAAGACTTGAATAAGGACCTTAACACTCTGGTAAGTGGCGGAGATTATTCTTTTTAATGGTGTTGCGAAAAGTTAAACTTTGCTGCAACAGTGAACGGCTTCCGAAATGTTTTTACGTCTTTTGTAGCTTTTACTAGAGATATCAGTGTAAACTAAAAATATATAAAAGGTTTGATATATTTATTATACAACATGGGGCAATATAAAATACATGCGAGCTGAAACAATATTTTTTATCGTCGGTAAATTATGTAGCTCAGAATTCGGTCTCTCGCGAATCGGAACATGAATGGATCAGTGAATGAGAATAATGCGTTCAACGAGGGTGCCTGACAAGGACGTACACTTCCCCGGCAAGGGTAGCAGAATGCGTCGGCAGACAAGGGCGAACGATGATGTGGCAAGCTCGATCGCGCCCGACGTGTTTTGCCCGATCGCGTCATAATCTAAATATCGTGGCTAATTGGAGACTCGGTATTGTGATATGCGCGTACGTATGTTTTTTCTCTCTCTCTCTCGACGGTGATTGTTCAAGCGCCACTCGATGCTCTTTATTTGAGTGCCTTCACCGTGTTAGGCGTCGATAAGTACATTTCTCGCTGTTCGCTCGCGTCTACCCCGCTCGTGTCCTCTTAATTAGCTCATTAAATCCCGTAAACGTCTCCGGCGACCGGATTCATTCGGCTCGCATCATCCTCGCGCTCAATAATCCCGACAAATTGGTCTCTTCTGCCTTTTCAGTCGGTCTTTTCCTCCCCTGATTTTTCACAGCTATCGAACTCGACGAACCGTAATTCAACTCCGACACTCTCGCTAGTAACACTCGCGGATTTTCGTTGTAGCCTCTACGCTCTTCAACGTTCGAATTTTATGCGTTCTCTGTCTCCCATACGCTCTCTTGTGCTTTATACGTGACTTTCTTCGTTTGAGTGAATCTTTTGCAATTAGTCACAATGGCAATAATCGAACTTATAATCAAAAATCAGATGCAGAAAGCGCGATTCGCGGGTTGTAATCCGAATTCGAGTGTCACGCTTGTCCATCTTGAATTTGATTTGTTTGCAATATCTGAAATATAACGCGATTGTTGACGTTATAGGCCGTGCAGCGGTTTAGTTCAAAAAAGGTTTCTTTTTGGTGTAGCATCAACACACGTTTACAACGCAATGCGTTTACGAGAATAATTGCACGTCGCACAAAGTAAACTCGGTACAAATTCGACTTGGTAATATGCCGTATAAAAGTTTGGATGAGGCAATATTTTTCTTTTTTTTTTTTGTTTTTTTTTTTTTTTTTGTTTCTGTTACATCGCACACATATCCCAGCAGTTCGTTAAAGCCGGTTGGACCAACAGATTCTTGTCACGATAAAGCTATAAAAAAATATCTGCCAGAGAAATTGGAACCTCGGGGTAGAGAGATATGGCAGCCTCTGTTCGAAATTGCACGGAAATTGGAATTTATCTGTAAGAGAGGGTATAAAAAAACATTTCTGTTTTAGTAGACAATTTGTACGCAATTCTTTTGCTATTGTACAAAAGGTAGAGAAGGCACATATTTGGACACAAATCTCTAGATGTATATATTTTGTTTTTACATAATAACAAAGAATATTTCCACAAAATGATTATATTCACACGCTTTAAAAACATCACGAATAATTATTTAATTTTTATTACGTGCTATTATTTATTTTGAGCACAATTTCGCGTAATAAGTAATTCAATTTGCTCACAAATTCAGATTATCAGATGAATAATTTGTTGACAAAAAAGCAACTCTTAAATATGGCTGTTATTTTCATATAGAAAACAAATATACAGCAATTGAAGGAGGAAATACAGGAGAAATTGCCGGAAACAACGGCGGACACTAACGGTGGCACGTCGATAACCGGGGGAACGAATTCGGTAGCCACAGGTACATTGAGACACCGCAAAAACCGGCCGGCGCCTCAGCCTCCTCAGCGACCTAGTTCGCATAACGGGGCGATCTCGGCACCGGAACAGCTTGAGATCAGAGCTCCGTCTGAGCTGCTCTTCGGGGTACCGTCTACTCTCAAGACGCAATGGAGGCACCAGCCAAAGGCTCTAGTCACTGGCTGCGTCACTTACATCGCCAATGTAAGTGTTTTCATTTTGTTTTTTTATTACTCTATATCTTTCTGTATGTTATATATTTCTGTTGATCGAACAGAATGCTGATGTTATATTTTATTTCTGTGTGACAAACGAATTACGCCACTCATTAAATTATTTCAAGTCTGACGCTGCGATTATTTTATAATTAATTGTTTTTTGTAAGATATAGTTCTGTCAATTTGTTAATATTTCTCGGATTATTTCAGTAATATAAAAAATTACATATAAAATTATTTAACCAATAGTAGAGACGGTAAATTAGCACTTATATTATTTGTGTCTGCTCTACTAACAATAGCAATATATAAAAATTCTGCTCTAAAAAAATTCTAAATTTCTGCCGTTGGTCCTCAGAGAAAAAAAGCTCTTTCTGTTTCTAAATAATGTAGTATCTGGGCTCCACTGTCGTCAAGGAATTGCGCGGCACCGAGTCGACAAAAAAGTCGATACAGAAACTGAAGAAACCCTTTCAAGAACCTAGTCCCTATAAGAAACCTCCGCCCGACATTACATTGGCAATTTCTTATCGTGGTGTTCGTTTCCTCGACACGTTAACCAATGTAAGCTTCTTTGCTTTAAACGACAATAACGCACGCGTAAGGCAAAAAACACATGTAGAAATATATTTTTGTAACAATTACTTGACAATAGGAGCCAATTTGCGAGCACGAGATACGTAACATCCATTGCGCCTGTCAGGATGCCGATGATCTTACTCACTTCGCGTACATTACGAAGGATCACGCTAGTCGGCAGCACTACTGTCACGTATTTTGCGTGCCAACGATGGTAAATATACTTTACAAAGTTAAAGGAGAGATTAATCGTGTCTCTTATATCATAATATATATACTTGTTACGGTTTAATTTTTTATGCTAAGACGTACGAAGCGCCGTCATTCGCTTACAGGATCAAGCGACAGAGATCATCTTGACTCTGGGTCAGGCCTTCGAAGTAGCTTATCAGATGGCATTGAGGGACAAGCTCGGTAACCACGCCGTCCGATCTCAATCCGCCAATCAGCTAACAACGCTCGCCGGGTCGTCCAAGTCGACAACACCTTCAAAAATGTCCGTGTCTCCCGATTCCGTGCCCGATTCCAACACGCGGGACGCGGATCACACCTTAACTTTTAATTCCACATCGAATCCCAAGATGAAATCGCGATCGAAGTCCACACCCAATCCGAATCTCCATATCCTTAATCCGAATCCGGTGCAGGATAGTAACTCCAACTCCAGTTCCAGCTCGACGATCGCCGCCAACTGCAATCTTAGCGCGAATTCCACATCGAGTCCCACCACAAATTCGATCACCGGCTCTAATTCGAACAGCACCACTAATCAGAGCACTAAACCTTTAGCCACCCATGGTCGTTCTCATTCCGTCAACGACATCAAGGTAAACGGTAATCAATTGAAGTTAGCACCGGCACCGGTAGACGACATCAGTATCGGAGTGAAGGACATGAAGCCGGGTTCGAGGGCTCCAATTGCACTGTCCGAGGAGCTGTAATCTTCAGTTCGTATCTCGCGTTGAAATACATAAAATCGCTATGCATAATTGCATGGCGTTTGATTGAACACGAATGCGTCGTTTTTGTGTAAAAATGACGAACATCTTTTGACTCTGGTGTTTCCATTCGTTTCCATGAGAAACGAATATCGCAGAAGAGTGCTCTGTCTCATAGCAATCGATTGGCTATTTAGAAATATCTACTCAATGACGAATTACAATAGAAACATAAGATCGCAATATTTTATTCGTTGTTTACTTGCAAGTTTGCACAAGAGTTTAACGAATCATACTTGCGGATACGCGCATTTTGCTATTTTGAAATCAATACTGATTGTGCGGGAAGACCATACCTTTTCGATCGATTATCATCGAGATTTACACTGTAAAAAAAAAAGTGTCTGTACATAAATTTACATGGAAAATCCATAAATGTACACGAAGAATATATCACACGCTGATAACGAAAATGTACGAAATTGTCAATTTGCACACAAGATTGCGTGTAAATTTACGTGATTTTGTACATTTCTGATATTAACAGAGAGTAATATTTGGATATTTTTTACAGTGTGCACAAAAATTAGTAACTAATTATGATTCATGGACGCGTAAAAAAAAAGAAAACAAATATCTTTGAAGTTATTTTATCCAGATTTGTAGTCACTGCTCAAGTGACAAATGTACGCATTATATTTACGATATATTGCGATATAATTATATATCGATATAATATGTATGCATTATATATGTACGATATAATGCGTACATATGTACGTACACTTACCGCCGAAAACAGATATTTATTTATTATAGGGTTTCTCTTAATCTAACAAGGCCTCGAGGACAACAAAGGTAAGTAGCAGAAACAAAATGCTTTGCTATTCTGCGCAATTTCCGACTAATATTTCGACTGATTGTGAATTTTTGTGGCTGATTCGCGTTTATGCTGTGATTTTGAAATCATACGGTATTGGCTAAGGTAATTTTATCGAGAGATAACCGATTCACACACAGCTCATACTTCCGGCGGGCGATAGAACACGTTAGGTCTTTCTTATGACACGTCGTTCGAGCAACCAGTATTATTAATGCGACATTATTAATGATGACAGTAAGCATAAATATACGCACAATACGAGGCGTGAAATTGCCGTAATAACTTTAAATTCGCGCAATTCTCAACACGTGCAGCTTTAATTCTGTCGCTAGACTAGATTCGGCGGTTTGTGTTCGGGCTTTGTCCGAAACACGCTGACATGTAACGGACCACGGGAAAGAAAAAAGATAAGATGCGCTGGGACGGCGCAAAGATATGCTCAATATTGATTCCTCATGAACGTTAACGGCGACCAACGAATCCGTTCCGTAGTTTTTTCTCCCTTGTACTGTGTTTTCGTGATTTTTCTCATTCCTCAAATCCCAAGTTCCGATTTAACGAGTTACCACCGATTTTTTCGACATTTTATCCTTCACTGAGAAGACTGAGAGAGTCTTTACATCTCGGTTTGTATTTCGCGTTTATAGTGTAATGTACAATACACAATATACACACAAAAAACAATATTGATCGGAAAAAGAGAGAATTTTAATATATTTATCCACAAGCGAACCACGGATGTAATATCAGAGAAAACTCTATTTGTTACGCGCAAGTGAGAACTGTTCTACCTTTTCTGTGTGAGAACTTAAAGGAAAGAAAATATGTGCGACATAGTGTGCGAGAGCATCACAACATAATATATGTCGCAATTGAACGCGACTTGTAATATATCGATCATACATCATTTGTAGTTCACGTGAAAGCGCAATTAATGTTTCTTCTTCATCTTTGATATAACTAGAGTACGATCGAGACAAAAACAAAAAAACAAAAAAAACAAAAAAATAAAAAAATTAGTTGTCGTGACTAGATAAGAAGAAGACTGTCGGTTCACGTGAGTCCAATATGCGCGTTACGCTAACATTGTGCATACCATTGAACATGTTTGCAACCATTGTTCCATTTTTACGACGTGCGGGCCTAAGAAGCTGGATAGATGTCGTCACGATACTATCCGCATTTGTAACAATTTATCTATTTCGTGCAATCGACGACACATAACGAAAGGAAGAAACAGCGAAATGAAAATTTACGTAGACTTTAAACACGTCCTTCCCTTCGCGCGTACGTTTCTCTTGTCAACAAGAAAGTAAGCAACCAAAGAAGCATGATTTATGACACGAATATGCATATACACTTACACTCAATGCATATTCACAACATAAAGCAATACGAAGACAGAAAACGAACGAAACTACTAAGGATGATCACAAGCCGTCGGAGAGGGGAAGAAAAATGACATACTGCCAAAACGATACACCACTATCACCTCGGTAGCTATATATATACATATACACACTTTGTATTTATCACATTTACAACACATAGTTCACATTATATACATATATATTATATAAAAATATCTACAGGAACATCGACAGCGAAATTTTCTTTTTCGCTAAACGTAACTGAATATTCTATGTATTTTTAACATTCTTGTAGCAGCTATGTTTAGTGAGTAGTTCTCGGTAAAGAGCATGTTCTATATCGCGATATGTCGAAGCGTGTTATTTAACGATAGACTGTGTATATTGGGAGAGTAATATAGTTCTTTTTTGAGATAATCGTGCGATAGTTTTCCCGCGGCAGCGAACAAATTCAATCAATTTGACTCGTCTGCGAATTCATGCAATTGCAATTTCGCGCAATTCAGAATAGTGCCAACGCGCGAGCCTGTCGCGCACCTTCTCGAATCGATCTTGCTGTTTGTCCTTCGGAAAAATTCTCTTTTTGTGAAGGGAGACTCAATATAACAGTTTTTACTTCCTCTTTTTTTTCTCACGATTGTTACTATAATATTCATACATACAGAGACAAACGCACAGTTTTGACAATTATGAGGGACAAATTGTCGGCATGTAGGACGGAGATGTTAATAATAGGCGTAAAAAAACTAAAAAATTGAAAAAAAATCGAGGAAATTAAATAATTATTAACTATATTATAAAATACGTATAGACATTACATAAATCTACTCTACGAATATATATTTTGACGACAATTTGCCTCTCATTTGTGTCTCGTTTTATTCTTTCCGTCATTAAATACAATAACTTACAGATAACTTATCCGAACGACGAACTTGCTGATTATCGATTTCTCTCGCAATGAGTTTATCACATGTGAGAAAAGAAAGATACAAATAGCACAAACAAAAAGAATGATTATTCGGACCAAGCAAGAACGAGCAAAAAATATGCTCGTTACGGATTATGGTTGGAGTATTAAAGGCAGTGATGTACTCACTGCACTTCTTCATAAAGCATGGAGTTTTAACCTTGTGTGCCCGTTGGTACCGATAGCGGCGTCAGATTTGTGCTCGAAAGATATTATATACAATGTTTAGAATATATATATATATATGTGTACATATATACATTTACATATATCTATATATGCAAATTACACCGAAGACCACCACCGCGAATCAGTTTCTTCTAGTAATACCAAAGAGATTGCGGGTGATCTTAATATAATTGTGATTTTTGTACATTTTTCTGACGTTTTATGACGTACAATATAAATAGCATCAAATTTTTCTTTTAAACAATTTATATTGTTAGATAAATAACTTCTCACGACTTTTATATAGGTTTTTGTTGCACATAGTTCTGATAAAACTTTAGCAATATAATTACTATTACCAGCGCCATTTTTCAAGCTCATGTCCGCTAATTTTATATGGATATGGTGTTGTGTGTAGGTACATAATCGAATGCATTTATCGCGTGCACGTCACTCCTATAAACGTCGAGAGTCGTTTGCTTTACGCCAATCAAATTTGCATAGCAAATGCGTTTTGACGCGTCGTCAGTTGACTCTACAAAGGTCCCGCAACAGTGAAATTCGCTAAAATGTATTTATATTCTTTTAAATAGAAATATAGAAGTATAAATAGCGCCGTGATCAATATTTTATAGAAAATATAATTTATAGGTTTTCATGTATATTTTTTGTTATTATTCGCCGACACACGCAGACAATAAAATATGGTTTTTTGTTACGCTTTTGTTATTTTATGTATAATAAGGCCATATACATTTACACATACACACACACACACACATACACACACAAAACCATTCTAAAAGTGCGGATTACACAATACGGTTTTAACAATAGCAATTTACTTCTATTCATAAATGAGAATCGTCGTAAACTGATTCCGGTGGTAGCGTATATCCACAGTTCTTTATGTGGTTGATGAAAAAAAAAAAAAAAAAAAAAAAGATCTGTGTACAGTTGTCGATATTACTTTCGTTCCGGCCGCGAACGCGAATTCGTGTGCTCTTAAGGCTATAGTTGGATGCATTTCGCGGATCGTTACACGTGAAATGCAACTGTTCCTGATTTTCGCGCAAGCAGAGATATTAAAGCCGGGAGAGTTAATATTTCGAAGCACGAACTTCCGTACTTTTTAATATGCGAACTCTACGTGAGTCGATCTAGTCTCGGAAAGTTATTAATTCCGAAAAATGATATTCTCCGGTATTAACCGCGTACCTGCGCCAAGCAAGAGAGAAAAAGAGAAAGCGAGAGAGAGAGAGAAAGCTCGTAAGAGAGAGCGAATGATGAATGTATGGGATAATATGCGCACAACATGCAAAGAAAGTTCGGCAAAAAGACTAGCATTATTTGAGACAAATAAATGTTTTACATTTGAGTAAATAATAACTTTTTTTGAACATTTTTTCTGTCTGTAAATGACTAGACTGCGATTCTGTTGTGTGTACAGCAACGCGTACACACGCAATGATTATTACAAAGACTATTACAAATGCAATGTAATCTTGAGTCTGACTTCTTGTATCAAACGAGCCTTTTGGTTCAGGAACTGAAATTGTTTCAATATTTCATGAGCTTCAATGTAAAATCGACAATCTTCGATGTCAAAAAACATCGGAGAAACAATTTCTGCTTAACTCCATTTACTTCAAGCAATATACTGATCTTTTCTGCACTCTTCAGATATATGTATATATTTATATGTAACTTAAAGACGAAGGATTTAGCGCTTTCAAAAATCATATTCATATTCATTAAAAATGTAATAAACGTATTTACTGTTTATTAGCTAATTAAGTATCTCTCACAACTATTTTCTTCTATTTCATCGTGATTACTCGTACGTAGATTTACGATTTCGGACTCATTGATAAGTTCGGAAAAAAAAGGGTGTGCGAAAAGCATTTGCCTCGATTGCGACTAATTTTAGCAACGAGGCTGGCAATAGATAGTAAATAAAAGATAAGTCAGATCTTCTTCACTGCCGAACTAAACAATTTTATTCGCTCATATACAGCGAGTTAATAATTATTATTTTTCAAATTGTTTTTGAAATATAATAATTTAATATATAGTAATACTTCCATCATCAGTATGTAATTAATATTGCGTGTTACACTTTTAAACTTATATTTACGAAAACGTTTTTATATTTATTGCTTGAGTAAGACAAAGAACGCATGATCTACCTATCTGTAATCACTTAAATCGCGCACGCTACATATAATATGCATATTAAAGCGATTCGTTTCAATTCGTGCCATTCTTTATTAATGCTATGGTATACTCTCTAAAAATTTTGGGTTCTTGAACTAGACTTGCTGAGAAACAAACTTGTATCTTCTAAATGTGTTAAAGGTTGTGTTATAAAAAACGTCGAAGTGTGGAATACTATCGCGAATCCACTCGAACAGAATAATTAGGTCAAAGGAACAAAACGCAGAAGATAAACATAAACGCGCGCACACGCAGTAGGGAGTATATCTGTATATAGCGAGAATAAAATGTAAAATAAGTGAAATAGAAACAATTTAAAAAAAAATGCCGTGAAAATTCCATGTCGGAATGCCGTGATGCCATGATTGTTGGTATGGAAGAGTAGAGACAAATCTGCTATTGAGTATGGTCACGATTTTTTGGATTGAATGTTGTGCAGATGGGACATTTGAAAAACAAAAAACAAACTAAATTGAATATACGATTCTGCTTTTTATGTCAACAACACACACACACGCACACATACACATAAATACTGGATAACTGAGATTTAAATATTTTTTCTCTCTTCCTTTAGAAATGTCAAGACTAAAAAAAATAAAAGAAATACAAAAAAAAAAAAAAAAAAAAAAAAAAAACAACGAGAGAGAACCAATTAAATCTCAGTTAGTTTTATTATCTCAAGTATGTAATTTTTATGGAAAAAAACACAATGTAGAGCGCATTCTGTCACTACGTATATGGAGTGTTCATCGAATTTCACGAGTATTCGCAATGCTTGTTACAAACGGGCTGATAGATAGATAGATAGTCGATAGATATATATATACATATATATTATATATATTATATATATATATAAATATGCCGAATATATCTATTAGATGTAAAATGTCGCGGAAATCACTTTCCCTACATTGTATTCGTCACGTTGCGCGCCGTTGCAGGAAATAAGTTTCCACGAGTCATCCCATTTGTTGTTACGCAGCTACATACACATGATCGGCAACATCTGCTACAATGACGCAATCATCAGTCGCGGATCAAGATTTTGGGCAATAACGCGAGCGTGAGTTTGCAATAAACCACTTACGAAGGAGCGACGTAATTGCGATATCCTTTCGTTTAATTGCACTTACGTCCCTCATCGGTGGAGCTACTACTGATTCTTAGTATGTGACGACGCGGTAGGGATTTTTCTCGCCTTTAAACGGCCCTTTTAAATGGGGCATTTATTCACTATTTCGTCTTTAGAAACGGACGAAAATTCCGTATTACGTTACACCACGAGAACCGCTATCCTCGCAATTTTTGCGATATGCTGCAACCGATAAGGAAAAGGTAGGAATGTGAGATAGTAAAATAGGAGCTTGAGAAACGTGATTCTTCATAAAAAGCATAACATTATTAGATATTATTACATTAGATCTATGTAATTTTTTTCTATTTAGGTATATATATATATATTTTTATTTTAGAAAAAGTGAGTACATATATATATATAATTCGAAATATCTAATTTCGTGGATTTTGTGGAACAAAAATATATACATATGTTACATTTCTACCTTTGCGCACTTATAAATAGGTGTCAAAGCGCTTACGACGATCGATCTCGGGAGTATTTACGATTCGATGTGGCAGGGAATAGTGGCTTGATCGTTATGTATTCTGCAGATTCGCGATGGAACAATAAAGAAGAGAGTGTGCTCTGCGCGCTAAGTCGTATAGGACCGTGCGATATGCGACGCCGACGACGTCGGTTCTTCTTGACGCCGATCCGACGAGAAACCTCGAGCTCTCAGACACCCGGCGAACGGGAGTGAATAGGATATTCGTCGGGAAAACTTCACGCTATGAATATTTATGTACGCTTTACGATCCCGTGCGCTCGCGACTCGAGAAGTCCGGCGAGTCGGCGACGAGTCGAGGACATAGGATTTGTGCGGTCGAGTGTAAGTACGTACTCAAAATATATAGAGAGACAGAGAGAAAGAGAGAGTGAGAGAGAGAAAGAGAGAGAGAGTGAGAGCAAGAGAACGAGAGAGCAAGAATAAGAAAATGAAAGACAGACAAAACGCGGTCAGTGTCTTTTGAAATCAAAAGAACAAATCCGGTACGGAGCTGTTGCCGAGATAATGCCATATAAGTAAATGCGCTATTTTATACCGAGCAGCCTGATTAGCAGCAAACTTCCTACGTTCTTGTATACATTATTATATTTATTATTGTTCATGTTTACTAGAATGATATATATATGAAAAAGAGATTATTCCCTGGATATCTATATAACGCCTTGAAGAAAATAAAAACGAATACTTTGCGGGATACCGCTGTGGTTTTATTTGAATTTTTAAACGCACACTTCTCCACCTCTAATCCTATATTGTATATGTTTTACATATGTTGAACTGAGACGATTAATTTTAAACGACTGTAACGCGTAAATGTGTTATTTCACCTGTATCACGATTTTCTCTACGTCTGTTTGTGATGCACATTGAAGAAATTCATTTACAATTCTTATTAATGAACATGAAACGACATTTGTTCGGGGAAAATGTACAGCCGCGCACACTATAAGAGACTCTAACTTTTCCCGGGTGAAATTGGCATTGTTAGTCGCCCGAATCAATAATGCAGCTTGTACTTTGTATAATTTCTTCCTTCCTCTTCCGCCCGACGGAGCGGGTCCGCAAGGTAAGCAGGCAGTTCGGTAAAGATGCTAATTAACCAAGTTTCGGTCTTAACAAAGTTTTTCGATTAGCCAGTAAATTGTTATACGATGCGGGCCTCTCTTACCATGGCGCGCGAGCACAGGCTCTTGCCTATTATCTTCCCAAACAAATCTAAAATCGTACCCGTAAAACGCAGCAAAATAATAGGAAGCCCAGAAGGAAGTTTCGTCGTTAAAATTTGTCAGGAAAGTGCTGAGAATCAATTGGCAAGTCGACTACGTCTTCAGAAAGTTGGTCCGCACAAGTTATGACACCTGAGAAAGCGCGAGGAACTTTCCGCGGCTTTTCAGCGCGGAACGCAATTACAACAATTTTTAAAGTAAAAACGAAACCTCGCGATTTCCTCAGAGTTTCAGAGTGTCATCTCAAACTGTTATCGAGGATCGCGGTAAAATATGTATAACAGTATTAAAACAAAAGATTTTTCTGCAACCGTTTAATAGAAATCGCGTTGAACGCAAAATATAATGTTAAGACAAAAAAAAATGCATTGAAAGAAATTCGTGTAATACAAAGAGATATTCTAAAAAAATAATTTTCGTATCTTCGGGATATTCTTTCCTCAGAAAATATTTTCACATCGTCGTCGCAGAGTAAACAAGAAGTTTGTGTGGACGAAGTAAGGGCGCGTGAGGAGATACAATTTGTCGGATTTCGGTTTGACAAATCGTTCTGGTAACGAACTCGGCGGTATTATAGCGCGCGCTCCACATCCTTGACTTTCCATCCCGCTTATCATCGCGATCTGACACGTCTTCTCAACTGTCGAAACCACCCCCCGCGCTCTCTCGGGTAAGGCACCCCTGGTTACGGGGCGGAACAAAAGAAATAAACGAACGAGTGGTGTGTGCGTGACGTTGTTAGATGTATACGCAGGTGCGTGCAAACAAGCGCGTGACGGCTGCGCCGCGTAAGTCGGTCGGAGAAATCCCGAAAAATCCTGGATATGCGAAGAACGACGTGCCTAGCAAGAACAAATCGCCGATTCC